ATCCAACACTGTGCCAATACATCAAATGTTTGTCAATCTTCTGGAGCTGAGTTTCTTTGGAACTACTCTCACGGAAACAAATTCGTTACGAGATGGAAATGAGTGACTGGTGACTTTGCGTTTTGGATGGCAGAATCAATTCTCTACTTTAGACTTGGTCGAGTTTACTGTCGCAAAGATTTCTGGGGGCGCGATCCATTCAACCAAAATTCCAACCGGTCCGACCGGGAAAATTGGTCCACCTCAAAAGGTGGACCCGTTTTTTCGAAACTTTTCCGGTTGTACCGAACCGATCCATTGAGTTTTGGACCGAAATTTCCGGAAATTTTGGTTGAATGGATGGCGCCCTGGGACTGTTACTGAGGACAGGGAAAGAAATTGGCCAATGAATGATTTTCAACTAATCGAAGACCCATGTTATGCTCACAGGATTCTGGGATCGCCAGGGGGAACATTGCGAGTCGCTACAAACAAATGTATGGCGTAATGTAGTTTCAGTCTCCTTCAAAAGCAGTGTCTTTGGACGTAGAATAACGCATTTTCGTCGCGATTTTGTGAGAAGCGGAGGTGGCCAATGTTGGTGCGTTGAAGTTTCTGTGTGATTAATGCGATAAAATCTATCGATAAACACTCCTTGCGTGAGGTTGAGTGTGAAATTTATTTTTACAGAATTTACACAGTGATCTACACATGAAGAAAAGGTCTCGAAATATATAGTGCAAATTAAGGTATAAATGTAGGGGGATTAGCTCATGTTATCGTGTGGTGATATTTACAACGAATGTAACAACGCTAGGACGCATGATCAGCGCTGCGCGGGTTGTGTCAAGACAACAATCGAAGGTATTTGTACGTGGCCATAAAAATGAAAATTTCTCTATTACTTTGGTATAAACAAAGTAACATCTACGAAATATTTCATGGAAAGTACATGGTATTTATACATGAGTAGATGAGGCCGAAATCGTACGAGAGAGTGCCGCAAAACGAGTAAGATGATTTCCGATACCAAAGCAGTGAGTGTGTAAATAAATATCAAGTTGATATGCGTCATTCAGATTTTATATCCTCCCACAAAGTGATTGGAAACGGCATGACAACTAATTGGTGCACTGAACCATGACCAAACATTTTGCTTGTATTTTTGACAAGAAGAAATCAATATAACAACGTGGGAATAATGTTTTTGTTTTTAAAGTTACACATGAATACATATCTTCGATCGCTGTGACAAACCGGCACAGCATTGTGATCGCCGCCGAGCCGAGCGTTGTTACGCCCGTTGTAAATATCACCACATGTAGCTACAACTGGACAGGCTTATATCAGTCATTCCCCGCTCATTTATACCCAGTACGTTAGTACTATAATATATTTCGAGACCATTCAGTAAATTTCATATTCCATGCACCTTCGCAAGAAGTGTTTAGCGATAGGAACCCCGGCATCGCATTGATCCCACCAAAACTTACAATTTCAACGCAGTAATATTAGGCATATTATTCAACTCCGCTTCATATAAAATCATTGCGAAATGTGGCATTCTATGTCCAAAGCCACTGCCTTTAACTGAGAAACAACGCAACGCCTTACATTTCTTTGTAGCGACTTGAAATGTTTGCCCCCTGGCGATCCCATAATCCTGTGCGCATAGTCTCTGACCGGCGTGTCCCCATGCCAATAACAATCCCAGAATTCTTTGCGAAAGTTAACTCTGCCCAGTTTCCTTCTCGTTTCTATTCCCCTTGAAACTCTCTTGGATGCAGTGGTTTGGTCTTTTTAAGGCTGGGACATTTTTGCCCCAAAAATGAATTCCCCGAAATGTTATACATATTATTATTCATTCAAAATACGTAAAATGCCGCTTGTAAGCCCTGGGTTTATACATCTTCCTAAGGGGTTTAAGGAGGGCTTATAAACGGAGGGGCTTATATCCGAGGGGGCTTATAACCGGAATATAGCTATAGCAAGGCTGATCAAAATATGTTTGGCATTTACTGGTGTCTTTTACAGTCAAGCCAGGTCAAGCGTACCCCCCAAGATTCCATTAATGAATTTATTATTCGAAAGTTGAATTCGTTGGTACCTGTGGATTTCAGATTCATCTCTGCATTCTCGCATGCGTAATGAGCCGTGAATCACACCCGAGGCAGTTAGGAAATTTCTACCAGCTGAGTTTCCTTGAATTTGATGTAAATATCTTTTAAGAAATTTCACCCATTCAAAAATTTCCAACGGCTGTCCAAATACAGAGAAGTTCTCGTAACATATTCACTGCTTATTACGCATGCAGAAGTGCCGAATTGAATTTGACACCAGTTACGGGAACGACTAACGGATTCATTGTTCAAATGATCAATTCATTAATAGAATCTTGGCGGGTACGCTTGACCTGCCTTGACCGTAAAAGCTTCAAAAATTCATGATAATCAACTACATTAGGAGGTGGCTTATATCCCAGGGGGGATGGCTTGTTATTGGATGTAAATTTTTGATTAGAGGTAGGTGGGCCCATAACTACGGAGGGTTACAAGTTGGGGGGGTAGGGGGGCTTCTAAGCGTCAGTTACGGTATTTCGCCGTTACATGACCCTCAACGCCCTGAATATATGAATCCCTCCGTAGTGCTGTTCTTGATGACTGTTGTATAATAAAACCTCACAGTAGCGCAGTTTCTCTTCATTTCGAAAATGTTACCCTCTCTTTCGCGTTCGAAAGTTCGAAAGTCGTTTTCCATTAATTTCATTATTAACGTCGCGTTACATGTAAACTCCCGGAGTTAAACTTCACTAACCTGCGATCATCAGGCGCCTTTTTTTCGGGGAAAAGGGAGAAAAAAGAACGCCTGATACATTTACATCAAGAGTCGTCTGCCGCCCCCTAACTCTAGCGGTTTCGATAATAGCCGCCTTCGTTATGCACCTATCAATGTAAAGCCGCGGTGGGGGGGAGGGGGGCAGGGCATGGGGTGGGGATTTGATTGTCTTTGTTGGCCCTGGGGTAGGGCATTTGACTGATCTTGTTCTCCCAGGGGAGGGGATATTTGAATCTTTCTTCTCCCGAGGTAGAGATATTTGACTGCCGACTCGGACGAAAAAGATTGAGACCGAACATATATTTCCCGCTTCCACGCTTCACGCATGCACCGTACGGTTTGAAAAGATCAGGAAGTCATGGAGGCCAATGAGAACAAGCGAAGGCTGAGTGGATTTCACTGTTTTGCCTTCAAATTCCGTTTGTTTTAGCGTGTTTTTGATCAATTCACGGAACCTCTTAAAACACTGTGGTATCAAAGTAAACTGAAGTAAAGACAAACCAAGTCGATTTTTGCAAGTACAATTGATTAGTGTATGGCTCATTCGCTACAATCACTGTAAACTTATAAAACTGACTTTCTTTGTACCCTTTACTAAGAACGGTATATTTAAACTTACAAAATGTGGACTTTCTCTAAAGGTTTATGTATTCTACGCAGTGTAACACGGATTATGGTTAAAACGTATAATTGCAGCTGTAACAGGAACATGACTTGTATCTTTGGTGACGCAGTAATGTTTATAAAAGATTGCAGAGTCTTATTTGGAGATATTTTTATTGTGCCTTTCTTAGGTTCTGCCTTGGGATTGGCAGCAATGTGCAGCCTGGGGTGGGGAAATTTGGTTGCATTTGACTGGAATGATTTGCCCGTGGGCAGGGAATTTGATTGCAAATTTTTGAAAAAAGTCAAATCCCCACCCCATGCCCTGCCTCCCCCCCCCCCGCCAGCATTACATCGATAGGTGCATTACGAAGGCGGCTATTATCGAAATGTCTACTTTCCAGGCTAGCGGTGAAAGTTAAGTTGATATAGCCGTCGTAAGCGAAAACACCACAAATTTTTAAAAATGCCAAGTTAGCACTGCCGTTATTGCGAATCTTGCCTTATCCTTGCCATGTAATGCCTTTGTTCAAACAGTTAAGTCAAACAAATTAATAATTCATTGAGAACAATAGTGGAGCATTAGAATTCTGTATTTTACTGGACGTAGTCAAAACTATAAGAATTGATTCTGCGGCAACAAATCTGGTCTTTCATCACTTCGCAAAAGTGCGGGTTCAGAATCGTCAATATATTACAATTATTTTTTTACACATATTCACGTAGTTGAACTCGATCGGAAATCAAAGACAACAATTCTGCCTGTATGAGCAAGAAAGCGTCGAAGAAGAAATAGCAAAAATAGCGGATATCCTTACCGGTGACAAATAACAACTCGTCCTCATCTCAGCTGTCAAGGTTCATTGTTGACTTGATTCATTAAAAGTATTGTTTTTTTCCCTTTAAACTTAGCTTTAAAACCTAAACTTGCTATTAAAAGAATTGCTTGATCATCTCGTAGTTTCTGTCATGAAAAGACGAAGGTGACAAAACATATCTAATAGCACCGGAAGTAAGATATGTTGCTTGACCAATTGGCGCAGGGCTACGAAGGATCTTTTGTTTTTCGACCAATCAGACAAAAATCCAGATTCTGTAAAGTGAATGTATCAGGCGTTCTTTTCCCCTCGTCTCCCAAACAAAAAAAGAAGAACGACTGGGGTGGCGATTTGACAGAAAATCTCGGAAATTTGGGATGGAAGGTAAATCGTAAGGCCACTTTTCGGAAATTCCAACCGAAAATTGAGGAGTACGTTTTGAGGTAGTCCTTTCATTCCGGTTGATACGGTTCCTTCTCGGTTCCAGACTCACTACACAAATTTGCCCCATTTTTGGATTCAAACCGTAACGGATGTGGCAATTCTGCGGGAAAACTTGTAAATGGCTTACCATTATGCTTTCGACACTCCAACAAGATTTTTCTGTCAACAGACAGCGGCTACCCAGGCTCATACCTCAGTTGCAGACTCCTATGTCAGAAAGTACATCGTGTATGCATCAAAAGGTGTCCAAGGTGATCGTGAGTGTACTGGTGACGATGTTTCAGTCAGCCATTTTGAATTTTGGTTTTACAATGTCAGGTCATGAATTTTTTCAAAACCAGCAATTTCAACTTTCAACAATATTGCTTGCAAACACATGGCTCCATCAAAAAATTATTCGACAAAGCCAAGAATGGTGATGTTCTTGCCCAGCAAGACCTGGGTTTGGCTTACTATGAAGGAGGCGATTTTCTGCCCAAGGACATCGACAAGGCAATATACTGGTTAAGCAGTGCTGTCGAAAACGGTTATGAAGATCCAAACATTCTTGGAAAACTTGGGGAAGCGCTAGATTTAAAAGGAACACCGCCATACCAACGGAAGGCTTTCGAGATGTACAACAGGGCTGCGAATTTGGGGTGCACAAATTCGCAAATCAATCTTGCAGAAATGTATCGATGTGGAGTTAAAGGAGTCGTGAACGAAAACATCGAAGAAGCTTTTAAATGGTATAAGATGGCGGCTGGTGAAAACCGCCTGAGTAATGTGGGAGCGCTGGAACAGTTATTAGCTGGAGCAATGAGAACCGTGGATAATACACTTGGTAGTGTGTTGAAATTTAGGGCCCTTAGACTTTTGTTCAAATACTATCTCAAAGGAGATTGTCCAGAAGGCCGACCACAACCAACCAAAGCTGTTTATTATTTGACCAGAGCAGCTGAACTAGGCGATGCTGAGGCTCAGCTAGAGTTAGGACAAATATATCTGACCGGAGGTTGTGAGCAACTCAAAGATGTTGCAAGGGCAAGACGATGGCTACAGAAGGCCTCTGCTCGTGGTGATGTGAGGGCAAAGCAGGTAGGTGTGATGGCAACTTTTGCATTTGGAATTATTGGGGAGTGGGTGACAAGTGATTAGCACAACTCTTTCTCAAACTCTCAAATGAAAGAGTTAAAAGCTGTTCATCACAGGTGTCAGGGAATAAATGTTAATAGGTAACTTATCAAGTCGCCACAAAGTCATCTCACCCAACTGCAAGTTATGTTTCCTGAAACCAGAGTTAAGTCACCCAAAATTTATGGTTATGTTGGGTGAAATGTTATCAGGTGTAATACACAGAGCGTGTATATGTTGTGTATATGGCAAAGAGCGTGTATTATGTTGTGGTTCAATTTTATCCTTGGTTTAAATTTTATTTTCCCTTGTTTCAAAGTCATTATCATACATTACCATACCCCAAAACAAAAGATAATAAAATTTAAACCAAGGATAAAATTGGACTGCAACATATATATCTGGTTCTTCAAAATCTCATGAGACAAAACAAGTGGGTCAAATGTGTAGAGGCCCTGCCAGGGTAAATTCTGACAAGCGACAGGATCCAGAAGGTAGCGACAGAGCGTAAAATGAAATTACGACAAGAGACAACCTTCCTCAGCCAAATTGCGACAGTGCTGGCAAAGCCGAGAATAAGAATCGGACAAAGAACGTTCGATTGGCTAATTTATCACCAGTCTGAATGCCAAGAAGAAGTAATTTTCATCAATTTTTCTTGAGCTTCTAAGAACGTCTCTTGTCAGTGAGCTTGTGTGGAGTCCCTCCTGTGTATTGTGTTAATTGTGAAGGGCGATGTATAGGTGTTCGATATGTGAAATGTTAACAAAGAAGTTGCAGAACTATAATGGTTTCTTTACAATGCATCGCTTTTCCCCTTTTCTACAATTCCGACAAAGACAAAGAATTTTTGTTCAATTTCCGATAGTGGCGTGAAGCATTTATAAACAACGACACGAGACGTTTTAAAATTCAGGCAAGCGACATGAGACCCCCCCACCTTGGCGGGGCCTCTGTGTAATATATGTCGTTCCTTAAGCAATGATGAAATGAAAGAAGCACAGTAAATGAGAAATATATCTTGTTCTTGTAGCTTTTATGTAGACGAAACAAGCATGATGAATGTGTAATAGGGATTTTAGGATGTCGTTGAACATGATAAAATTTTGGCCGATAAAAGAAGCATTTCAGGCAACTTAACTAAAAATTTAGGGAATATAGCTCTGGTTTCAGATTACATAACTGCAGGCAAGATGACTTTTGGGGGAATTGACTTTAAACCTGTTAATATAATCAGTCATCAGTTCGTCATATGAAGGGTTGAAAGTAAAAGGGGTACATGTGATGATTTTGATCAAGGCTGTGCTCTAACAAAAATTAAAGGGGGCCCAGAACTTTGAACCTGTGAAATCTAGGGTGCCCAGCATATGATTTTTATGAAAAAACTAGGATTTTCTGGTCAACCAGGAGCAAAAGTAAGGTGCCAGGGGCCACCGGACTGTGCTAGAGCACAGCCCTGTTGACTGATACTAAAAATCATTGCTCAAATGGCCTTAACTTTTTCATGCACATGCCATTGTTAATTGCCCAACAAATACTGTCTTGATTCATTTATTTCCTGTCAGTCCAAATAATTATGTATAGTGGAACCTCTATTCAGGGTAAATCCTAGGGGCCAAGGAAAGTGTCCCCTAAATAGAGGTGTCTGAAAGGAGAGGTTCCACTGTACCGTTTTCTCAGTTTGTGTGGGTGCCCTGTGGATTCACTGTCTTTATTGTCAATGGCCAAAGAAACTACTTTGGTTCTATACCAGTCGGTGGTTAAATTTAACTGCTCAAAGGCATGAAACTTGCTTACATGATTGTACAATCATGTCTTCCCCAATTATCTTGGGTTCATTCCTTGCCATCTACGAGTAATAAATAGAAAAGAAATCAAGAGGTCTCTCCTCACAGAGGCTCCTACTAGGTATTCCTACCGATAAAAGTAGGAATACAATTTGCCTCTGCAGTGGAGAGAGGTATGGAACTAGTTACTGCTAGACTGTTGGTGGGTGAACATTTAGAGCGATTTTTGTATGACCTTGAAAAATGGTTTCGGTAAGTGTTCGTTATTTGTTTTATCAGCCAGTGGATGAAGAGATCAAAACATGGCCTCCTCCTTTTCCCGCCAAAGAAAACCCTAATATGGAGAAGGCATTGTTCGTTTGGCCAATCATGCTGCAGTATGATGTCAAAGCCGTAGCGATTGATTTCTAGAAAGTTCTCGGCTTGAAGTTTTTTTCACTGGAAGGTTTGTGTAACCAACCAAACGCCAAGCGCATTTGTATCTGTTCGATAAATCAATCAAATCGCTCTATTTCCGCTCGTTTGTTGTGTTTGTTTTGTTCACGCGTTTTCATTTTGAGGACATTCAAAATCGCTCTTTTTCGTGTTGAAGAAAAGGCAAGCATATGGCTAAGAGAGAAGGTAAAGGCATCGATGAAAAGGTACAGAAGAATATTTGTAAATTAGCTTGTACTGTAGGCTGTCTTACCTGAGAAGCAAATTTCTTATGGTCTAGGTTGTAATGCTATTGGCAACATGTATTTTGTTCAGATACAAGTTTTGTTTCAATTCATAGTTTTATTTTTGTGTTGTCAGCTTCTTGAAGAATGTTTCAAGCAAAGTGTTGATACTAAACATCCTGCATCAGAAGTATCTGAAGAGGCTTTCCTTCAAACTTGTGATATCTTGAAGGAAAAAATGAAGCAAAGATCTGAGGCAAGACTGCATCCCTTTGCTATTTCTCAGCCAGTTCCTTTAACAGAAGAATTGCTCTCTGATTTTGTATGGTCTCCAACAGCAAAAATTTACCTCCAAGCTTTAAAACAAGTGAAAGAAGGCTTTGAAGTTCTTCAGAAGAGTAACTTTACTAATGAAAGAGGAATTACTCTTATAGCTCATGGGTATTTGACAGAGAATTCTATACTACAAGCATTTCCTGCTGATGTTTATATAATTCCAATACTGCCTCAATTATTTCAATTATGTGAGAAAACGTTGGAGAAAAACCCATATTTCTTTGAAGCCCTTGTTGTTTCATTTGCTTTGCAAGCTTATGAAAGAAAAGTTTCTATGCAGGGATCTATTGGGGATATGAAGAAAATCATGTGTATAGATAACTTAATTCATTTTATCAAGAATGCTGAGCCAGATGGTGTTCCCTCGCAAGAACCCTTCAATGTCAATAAGAACTATAGTAGCTGGCTTCATCTTTTGTATTACTTCTTGGCAGCAATCTTTACTGCTGGAGGGGTCTATGCAGATGCAGCCGAGGCTTATGAGAACTCCCTTCAGTATTGCCCAGCATATTACGAGTCCAAGAGAGGACTTGGCTATACATTACTGTTGCTGTATATTTCTAGGTTACCGGTTAGTGAGGAGTTGAGGCAGGTGGTAAAATCCAGAGAAGAGTTGCCCAAGCAAACAATGAGTGAGAGAAAGATTCCAAAATATGATTCTTGGACAACTCAGCAACTGAAAGAAATGGCTGTAAAAGTGTTAAATGAGTATGTGGATAAGGCCCCTTGTTGCCACAAACCATACCCACATGCTTACTATTATTTGGCACAAATTTCTCTACTTGAGCAAAAACTAGCTGAATTCAGGAAATATTATGAACAAGGCCAAGATGCAGAAGAAAAGAGACTTCCTTTTTTTGAACCAGTTTCCCTGCCAATGAAAGATCTCATGACTCCTGTTTACCAACTATTTGTCAATGTACAGAAACCAACTGGGTGTGGCAACAGGTCTTGCATTCGGAAGGTCAAAGAAACTGAGCTGAAGTCGTGTAGTCGATGTAGGATGCAAAAATATTGTAGCAAGTAAGTACAGTTGTACAGTTGTATTACATCTAATTCCCTCACAAAAAGGGGAGTGATGCTCAAACTGTTTGTAATCTTTTGTTAAAGAATCCCTAGTGGTGAGAATGACATGCAGTCAAACCCTGTTAATACCGATACTGAGAGGTCCATAGAAAGTGTCCATATTAAGCGGGTTGAATTTAGAGAAACTTTAAAGGCTAGGGACAAGGCAAACGGTCTGTAATAATGTGGTGTCCATATTGAGCAGGTGTCTGTAAAGCGGGATTCAACCGTACCATTAATGTCGTTGCCATAATATGTATTACATTAAGCTGAATAACACCTTTCGACTTGCATACATGAAGGACTGTCGTACCCTTTAAAACCCCTCAGTCACTAATCATTTATTTTCATTAAATACTTGTATTCTTTACACAATTTTCAGAGAATGCCAAAAAGCCGACTGGAAGAATCATAAAGCAGCTTGCAAAACAACTTGTGATGCTGTAGAAGTTTTCAAGTTAAAGGGCTAACTACCTGAAATATTTCTGTTGGTGAAGCAAATGACAGAAAAGTCAGGCTCATTATTGTTTCTTTGAAAAAACTGTGGTTACCTGCAGGGGTTTACCTATCTCTATTTTGCAGGGTGAACGATGATACTTTTTTTGGGACTGATGCTCTCCCTCCATCTTGGACATTGAAACTAACAGTCAGAGAGCTGGGGTGAACTGATTTTAAGGGAGAGGTTTATGATGGGTTTAAAATAGAGGAGTCTTTTTTTTTTCTCTCAAGATGGAGGCCACTATATCTTAGTACCTTTGAGTTTTCATTAAAAAAAGCCTGAGGGGGCAGAAGGGGGGGCGTCAACTTGTCTGATATAAGTTGCTCACTAAGTTCAATTACACAGCAATTCAGAGGGCAGCTTCATGTCACTTGTAGAAAAAATGACAATTTCTTTACTTATTAATTAACTGAAAAGAAGTGACTCGTGTGTACTGTTGAAGACAAGATGGTGAATATGAGATTGTTCATGTCTCAGTTTTTGCATAATGTAATGAGCAGTGAGTTACAGTACTATATGAAGTAGTTAAAATTTCTTTCAGCTCAGCTTTCTCTTTGAATTCAATATAAATGTATTGAAAGGGGTTTTATAGAGATATTACAAATAATCGGACAAAATATAGAGAAGTTGTAGTATAAAATCACAGCTTATTATACATGTAAGAATGCAGGCCTTGATAGTTGATGATACTGTTAAGAACTCTTTTTTCTTTCAAGTTGGTGAAGAATATGACCTCTGCAGATGACACCCACCTCAATCTCCATAATTCTCCGTGCCCCAGTTGTTCAAAAGTTGGGTAGCGCTATCTACTGGATAAATCTCCATTCCGTGGATAGTGCAATTGGTTTCCCTAATACTTATCCACTGGATACTGGATAGTGCTATCCAGCTTTTGTACAACTGGGGCCAGATGATTACTCAGCCTCATTCAAGAATTGTTAAGTATATAATGGTAATTGAACTGAGTGGAGTGCAATTTGGTCTGAAATCATATGCGTGATTTTAAAATCGAGTTTGATTTGAAATTACAAGAATGATTTCAGACCAAAATTGCACAACATGAAGTTCAATTACCACTTAATTACAACCATTTTGAAATCGCAGAATTTATTCTGATTCAGATGTGATTTAGAGCAAAACATAGTGTGATTCGTGGATAAATCACACTGCTGAAAGCCAATCAGATTTCGGGGATCCGGGATCACCTGTGATTTCAAAATGGATCCTATAAAATTCTTATATTAATTTAAATTTGACTTTATTTTAACAGTAATATATTATTTATCTAATAAGTAAATAAATCTTATTCTATGATATTATATTATTTATTTTACTTATTTAGTAATTTGAATAGGCTCAGGTTATAAGCAGTATAATTTATTAATTTATCATTAAGTTAAATGATTGTTATTTTACAAAATGTTAAATAAACTAGCAGGAGTGTTTATCAAGCTGAAGACACGAGGCACAGTGGAGTGTTTAAGGCTTGATAAATTACACTGCAAGTATCTTGAATGCCTTCAAACACTTCTGTTATAACTTCGTTCATTCTTATTACAGTATTGAAGGTTTGGATTAGTTTGGCCAAAAAAGTTGGAAGGTAGTCACTTATGCGCTAAAACTCATCGTTTTGCCAGAATGTTTCTTATTTTGGCCTTCTTAAGTTCCTGGAAATCTCAGTATTACACGTGGCCTTTATTTGCAAGCAGTTTTTGTGGAAAGCATGGGGTTACCCAAGGAGGTTTTGTTTGTTTCTCTTTTGTTTCTTCTTCATTTTTTTGTGTGGAAGTTCTCGCTGCCATCATTTATGAACAAGGAGGACATAAACGAGAGAAAATGTGGCTTTGGAGGTGGGCGTCAGACAGAAAGAAGGGGACTGGAAGGAAGCACTTTTACTCCTCACACCCAAGTTAGATGGCAAACACATTTACAAACTAGGTGACATAAAAAGGTAAGACTACAAAATCTTCATTTAATTAAATCTTTAATTACGTATTTATATCTCGATGCACTCAGCAGCAAGTTACAGTCAAGAAATTAACCAATACAGCTTATTGTTTTTTTTTTTCAAGAGGAACGTTTTTTTGACTAATTAAACCGACTTTTTAACCAATAAAAAGTCAACTTAGTTATTAAGTTGACTTGGATCAATTAAAAACTGGTTGCAGTGCATCAGACAATAACACTATAGAACTTACGATACTATTGTTTGAAGAAATTATCTGTGCTGAAGGCCAAAACATGTATATAAGTGTCACAAAACAACTCGTTAGTTTATAATGTACTCGAAATGTAACTGAAAGAACCAGTTTCTGGCTCGTACATGGTTTACTTCTATCTTGGTACCACCCATTTAACATGGTTTGGACTTGTTGTGTTAATGACGGTGCCTCGTTTCGTCACTGAGTGTACTTACTTTACAAGCTGAGGAAAGTGAAACTCGGGATCTCAAAGCAAAGAGGTCTTTAATAGCAAGGGCTAGTCAATAACCTCAAGAACACAGGGAATAACCACTCATTTTTTTAGTTTTCCGCACCGATCGGCCTTCAATTTTGCCAAAACAACCAAAAAAACAAAGAAAAGGACCATTTACTTGCTGCATATTTTAAAGCTCTGTGCTTGAGCCTCTGAAAAATGCCTGGTTATCCCCAGTTTTCTTAGACTGCGGATACAGACGTATTTCCTGTCGTCGTTTCTCTCCACCCGAAAAGTAACTTGAGTTAATTTTCGGGTGGAGAGAAGTGATGACTGGAAATACGCCTTTGTCCGCAGGCTACAGTTTTCTAAGCCAAAAACATTCAATAGCCCAGAACTACTTCTTTGTAAATGTATCTATAAACAGGGCAGAACACCTTTGTCAAGGCACAGTCATTACAAAACCTGACTGCAAGAGAGTGATTTTAAACCAGTAAGGCGACTTTAAAACCAGGCTCTCAAAAACGACGGAGTGAAACTAAGTTTTTACTATTCCCTTAATGGAGATGTGCTGCAATTGTTAAAAGAAGGAGAACTCGATTGACTGCGGAAATATAACAGCGATTACAGCCACCATTATATCCGGCGTAAGCCGTCTATCGCAACGTTTACATGCTTGTTGTCTGGTAATGTTGTAGGTATTCAGCGAATGAAATGTGTTTTCTTAAATCGAGCCAATTGAAACCAAAACTAATAAATATAAGTTATCAAAAAAAGAATGTAAGTATCCTAAAGAATACATAACAGTCACTTTTCTATAGCTGAACACGTTATACCCAAGCTTACTGACGTAGCGATTATAAGGGCATGTTCTCTGAATAGTTTTATATGCTTAGTTTTCTTGTTATCTACTTAGCAACTGCATAATACTAATTTTAGCTACTTGTTGGAAGTGAATGTTACTTTTTCCTTTATCATCGAGGTAGGCTCCTAGGTAAACCTTTTCTTTACTTTTCAGAAAGAAAAAAGTTGTTTCAGAAAGATGCTTTTCAAGTTGTTAAATCTCTTTGCGAAACAGGGATGACCGATGATTTTTCCAAGTTCATAATTTATATTTAATCACCAAAAATGGGAAAAATAATGCATTCCAAACTCAAAACTTTAAATCTTATTGCAGCTTTTAATTGCCTTCTGCAAAGTTCGTCTTGCTTTGTCCGAAGGAGTGTAGCACTCTTGGGGTTGGTCCCTATGAGAGCTTGCCTACGGGGGTTAAAAATTGGAAAAAGAGGAGTTCTATCTCTGTCCTATTTCAGTGCTTTCATGATTCCACTCATCAATTCACTGCCTTGCGCTAGATTTCTGGACTAAGCACTGCAGCTAGAGGTAACGGATAAAAACTAGGGCTAACGTACTACGAGAGGTAAGGGATAGACGATAAGAAGAAATTCTAAAAGGAAGTTGAAATACCTTATTAATTGACAAAGTTTACACCAAACCAGATCACTACGGTAGTTTTAGTTGCATAGCTCCAATCGTCAGACTTAACATTTGGCCTGCTACCCTGCAGCCACTCATGCCTGCATCCACTTTTCTGTACCGGGGCCACCGCTTCGCTTTGATAAAGCTCCGCCAATTGGAACTAACCGCATACAACTAGTCCTCGTCTTTCCTTATTCTGCACAAAATACGCCTATTGCTTTATCTCTTGAAGTTCATGAACGTTGTTCAGCGTCTACTTTTTGCAAGGACATAACCTCTCTCCTTTGAACGCGACTTGGGGCTTTTCTTTGCATATGCCTCGTCTTCTTAACAGTCTTCATCATACACACTCCACTTTTACTTCGGTAAGGCATTCATTATATTACTTTGCACTGACTATCTTAGAAGGTTAGCTATCTGTCTTGATACCGTTACCATTCTTGATAAGGAGCAAGATGATCAAGAAAAACTGTCAGTTTCTCTTCTCTCTTAGCGAACGTGGCCCAACAAAAAACGTTTTTGCTTGTAAATTTGTGCAACTTTCCAAGGACTCCGCACTCCATTATCACGTTGAAGATTTCTGGACTTTGAATGCTACAATCCAGTGTAAGGCTTTTGTCGTAAACACCCATCGTCTGCAACGGGTGGCTATTAAGGTTCTTCGTTTGAATCTTGACGATGAATTTTTCCGTGCCGTCACATTTGGGTTTAGGTCCTTTTCCAGTACCTTTTAAATGAGTCCCAAATGTTCGAATTTGCGCTTGCCCTGGATTTAATAGTGAAAAGGTTTTCACCGTTACAGAATAACGACTTTTCAATGCGCTACATAATGTCTTATGTGTGGCCAAATGTTTTTCTCTACATTCTCTGCCGCAATACGAGGCAATATGACAAGTAGGACACTTCATGAGGCGACTTACTTCACTTCGTGAGCGACGACAAAAAGTGCAACCACTGTAAAATCGCTCGATTACCTCTTTGGGGTGATACATACCTTCCTCGTTGTTAAATTCCTTGTTTCGGACTAGGATGGGTGGGTTGCTATAAATTTGTTTTTCTCCAGGAGGAAGACCCGGAAAAGATGAGTCCCCCTTAAGTAAGATAGTATCAAGGGAAAAACTACCCTGTTGATACTCTAACCACGGGCCGCCATGGTCTCGCACAGTGTTTGATTCCAGATGAACCCGTGCAGAATAATTAACACCAATGAAAATCCCGCCACATTTGTTGCCAGATATGATATTTCCTTTTATCACGGCTGAAGTTCGCGATTTTGCCAAGATTCCCCAGAATCCATTCTCGAATATCTTGTTATCCCTGATGACAAGGTGAGAATCTCCATCCAGCGAAAGGCCAAAAGGCCTGTTGTGGTGTACATCATTTTCGGATATTTCTATTTTATTCTCGTTGCTACAGGCGTAGATTCCCTCTTTGCGTTTTCGAATATCTTGTTCCTAGTGATTAGGCATTCTCCTGCATTTGGGCCAATAAGGACACCATGGAAACCACCACTAAATATCTTGTTCTGAGAGGCAGAAAGAGTTCCGCCTTGTCTTGCCTGTAGACCAGCTTGGTGGTTCTTGTACACCTCACATTTATGGACAGCCATGCGAGAACCCTTGCCACTGACTAGAGCGCCACCACCACCACAGTCATGAATTGCACATTCTTCTATGAGAGCAAAGCTCCCTTCGTGGATTTGAACTCCGGGAAAACCACCAACACCAGACTTTGATTCAGAGTCTCCAAATTTACCTGTGCGATCGCAAACAGGTTTTCCTAAAGAGGCTGCTATACATCCTTCACCACCATTGCATTCTGGATAGTCCTCACAACTAGTTGCACCCCCTGAAATTTGACAGTGCTTCATATGAATGGCCGCTTCTTTGCCTTTGGAAACTAGGCCAATGTTTCCTTTAGGAAACACAATATTCTCAAAATAACACTTTGCAGAGGAAATAAGACAGCATTCTGTACAACGTAAAACCACTTCTTTTCCAAGACCAACAATTTGTAAATCTTTAAAGATAATGAAGCGCTTTAAATTATACACACCTTCCTTCAGAAGCAGAGTACCTTGTGCCGTCATTAAAACAAATGTCAACTGCGTTTCATTTTTTATTACTCTGAACGGCTCGTTTACTCGTGGAAACTTTTCCCAAAACCCTTTCTCGTTGCCAAGACTGGGTTCATTTTGGATAGCTACTGCCAATGCAGCCATCTTTTGTCCTTCAAGGTGAAAGGAACCATTTTCAACAAGTTTTTGGAGAGCCCAAGCCTTGCGTTGTAATGCGTTACTGTAACGGGGACATAATAAGAGGCACTTTTCACAGTCATCTAAAGCTTGTTGTGGCTGGCTAAGTTTCATATAGCAGAGAGCGCGATTGGCGAAGAGTCGATGGTCATGGGAAGTCAAATCAATGGCGCTGGAATAAAGATTAAGGGCCTCTTCATATTTGTCATTTTTTACTGCAATATTTCCTTGCTCTCTCAGTTGGTCAACCTTTTCCTCCCTTTCTTTTTTAACAGAATCTGCTTCATCCTCAAGATCACCGTCCGAGGCCGGTTGCCTCATGCAATGGGATATTAGCTTGCAGTCCCTGTCATTTAATGGGATATCAATAAAATAGTGTGGCAGTTTTGCGCTGTAGTCTTCGGTGGAGTTCATTAGGTTCACCAGGAATTCGAGTTTTAGTTTCTGTACTTCCAGAGCTTTGACTTTCTCTTGGGACACATTGAAAAAGATTCCAGCTTCGTTGAAAACACGCACGGTTTCCTCTGTATACAGTAACTTATGGGCTGCTGCTCCATGATTGACAGAAAAATTAGACAAATGCTCTTGCAAATAGGTGGCATGCGAGGCCAATTTAGCCCATAACTGCAACGAAGGGGGATTGTCGACGCTAAAAACAGCGTCTTCAACAAAACTTTCGCACACTTCAGCCGGCGACCGAGTATTTTTCAGCGCATGGTGAAGGGCCCGTACTGCACGTGAGAGAACATTGAACCGAGTTTGTTCTTCTTGCAGCTCGCTTCGAATCACTTCTTGCACTAAACGATGAACACTGAAAGAGTCTGTCCCGTATCTCTGAAATAGAGAAAATTTAGTTAGAAGAGAAACTATTTCAGCTGCTTTATCCGACATACCATTATCCCCCGCAGAACTGCCTTCGTCTTGTAGCCCTTCATTGATCAGTTCGTATGGAATATCATCTGGGCAATAAAAAGCAGAAACTTGCATAAACAGAGTGGGAACTTCTCCAAGGTCCATCTCTTCTGCCATGCGACTGATGTGATCGAAATTCAACATCCATGTTGTGTGGACTGTTAGCCGCTCCGAAGAGGTGTTTTCCACCAAATGTCGGGCTTTTGTCTTTTTCAAGAGACGCACCCTCTGCTTCTTGTATTTCTTCACATACTCTTTTATGGACTGTTTAACATTTCGTATAAAGGCCCCAGCTTGATCAAGAGCTAAAGGCAGTCCTCCAAGTTCTCTGACCAGTTGACGCAAGTCGTTGTCTTCTCCCTCATCTGTGCGGCCTGTTCGCCGCCGTAGGAACTGAATGCCTTCTTCTTCTGTTAAGCATTTTAAGTCAATACAACACTGCTCGTCAATTCCTGTTGCTCTGCCAATTTCTGAAACTTCCCTTCTTGTTGTTATGATGATGTGACCGCGAGCCATATATTTCCAGCTACCAGTAAGCAGTTCACGCATTTCTTTCGACATTTCTAATTCGTCAAGATTATCGACGACTAAACACCACAGTTTTTCGCGTTTCCTAAGCCAATCAAGGGTTGTCGACAAGGAGTTATGAAAATCGTTTTCGATCGTTCCAATTTGACGCGCCATCTCATTGACGGACCTTTGAAAAAACTTATCTTGTCCCGAAATCCAGAATATACCCCCTGGATATTCTCTATCATTTTGCGAAAGAAACTCTACAGCGAGGGACGTTTTACCGACACCACCGAGACCACAAATTGCTGAATCAATACAACCATTCTGGGTATTTTTTAGATGCGCTGCAATTGTCTCTAGTTCAATTTGGCGACCACAAAAGCAATTATTGCGCTTGGGCACTTCAAAAATCTGAACATCTGCTGTCTTAAAATTCCTCTTTTCTAGTGCTTCAACTCTAGCGTCCAAACGACTTCGCCCCTTTTTTAAATCTCCTATGTCTGCAGATACAGACGATACAGTGGTCTCTAAATTACTTTGTTCATCTTTTAACTGACAAATGTCTCTCTCATTAACTCCTACACGTTTGTCTACTTCTGCTAAATCGCTTGAAATATCTGCAATTGCGTCTGATAAAGCTTCCTCTTTTTCTAACCGTTCCTTTCGCTCTTCCTCCATCCTTCTTTCAATTTCAATAATTCGCTTATCAAAGTTAGCGATTTCGTCTCTGATAATTGGAAGGGCAGCACTTATCTTGTTGGCTTCATCGGTCCTGGATTGCCTTATGTTATCCACTTCTTTTTCCACGTTGTTAACTTCAACACTGATAAGCTTCATCAAATCTTTATCCACAGGGTAGCCCATGGACAGTTGTAAGCCTACAAAGAAAAATTTCCACGGTAAGAATCACAACTCAGTGAATTATTGAACAAATCAATTCCTGCAAAAGCCCCCCCGTGTTTCTGTTTGTTAGTGGGCCCTCGAATTCCTAAAACAAAGAATTTGAAGTATATAACTATTTTTCTGTTGCTTATTAGCTGTCGTGTAGTTAAATCACTGAGTTTACAAAATGGAGACGTACTTGCAGTAGTGCAGTACACGCATTTGATGCTCATTTGTGGCACTCAGATGAATGCTGTAGATGTGCTTGAGCTGAGCTTATATTTTGCGCTGAAAGACTATTGCATTTTGTGTTGAAAATTTTGTTACATTTTGCGTCAATGTTATTACATTTTGCAGCGATTCTTATTACATTTTGCGTTAGTATTACAATTTGTGGTGATTATTACATTTTGCGGCGTAACAAGAACGTTAGAAAAGCAAAACGTGCTTTACAATTTCTTGTACATTTCTCTACGGTCACTGCACGACTACGACGTGAAAATGCCTAATTTCACGTTTAATGGAGGAAGTAAACAAGCGACGACGAAATTTTCTTTTTCGTTCTGAACTTGGGTATGGTTCTTAGGAATTCAAATCCAGGAGAGTTCTCCCAATTTTGACAATTCAGTATGTGAATTGAAATAATCACGATGAAGATTGAGAGAACGCGAAATCTTTTTAAGCGATGTTTACGCTGCCGCCGCGGTCCTCAGATCTTAAAATCCCTATTCAATACAAGGCGACTTCACTTCTTCCAGTCTACAAATGAGGGAGTGTGATATCGAGTCAAGTTAACTGACGCATCCGAACGGACCAGTTACTTACCCGTTGTTTCCCAGTGATGAAGCTCATCAAGTTGCTTGTCTTCATCGGCTTTTGCGAGCCCCAGTGATCGAACCATGATCTCCATCAGCTGACAACTGTTCTGGAACTCCGCGTCAGTCCAGTGGTCAAAATTGCAGTGTCCCCACTCATTTCTCACTTTGGTGCGCACATCTTTGGCATTGGTTTGGATACGAGTGTGAAAAACAGATGCTCTCTCCAGAATCCCCAACACTGCATTCAGGTCACATGTGTTATCAAACCCTACAAATCAATAAAAGTTGGAGTGAGATATGAGTCAGTTTCTCAACTGATACATTGTTTTCTATCTTGCGTTTTCATCTTAGTTGATACAACGGGAATAAAAGAGTCGATGGTTTAAACACACAAATGAGAGTTAAAGTAGTCGCCCTCCAAAAACCAAAAATTATAAAACACACAAAAAAAGTCTGAATATCAAACGTAATCCAGATTTTCTTTTGGCTGATTTCCACTAGCCACTAAGTCGTAGTCGTAATCAGAAGCGTAGAGCGTTACTATCTAGTGAAAATTAAACCCACCGAGTCGTAAACAGAAGTTACTATTCTGCTTAATACAGCATCGCTCACATTCTACTAAAACCAAGATCGTTAGAGTTGCAAGCAAAAGCGACTCCTTTGTTAGTGAAAATCGCCCTTTAACCAGTACGGCAAAAAGTTGCTTCCTCATTATTGACATGGTAGACAATTCTACCTATTATATGAGCAATACAATAATCGCTACTTTAGACAGGGGCTGCATAAAAATCAAAAAAAATTTTCTAACTCCTTTAGATTGGCTTTAGATTGGAAGGAAATTGTGATACGGTTGACCCTCTCCAATACATACATCACTGAGAGAAAAATAGGTGGCTGTTTTAGAAAACTTCAAAGAAAATGAAGAACTGCAGGGACCAACTTTACTGAAGTTCCCCTATCACAGGGTGTCCGGAAAGAGAGAGCAGACTTCATACCGCAAACCCGATCCAGTTCTCATAACTGGTTCAATTCAGAATGGTTGAGAAAATTCACATGTTGATTTTAAAATCAATTTACTCACTAACCTGTAAACTTGGCCATATGTGGCTCAAGATAAAGTTTAGCCAAGTCTTCAGCTGTTCCAACTTTGTAATCATATGAACGCAATTTTTTCTTAAAATTCCCCCAGTTATTGTTGATGCTTCCATAGTTCAGCTGAGATGGCCCATCATGAGTCTTATGTCTTCCATAGACCTGAGTGTCAATTCCATGTGTACTCTTCAGGGATGCGTAGTGTTTCGGAATTTCTTGAGCCACAAAATCCCTGACGACTGGCAACAGAAGCCTGTTCAAGCAAATCCCGATCACAACCCATCTCTTTTGATTCTTTTCAAGGTCAAAACTGGTGACTGAAAGAATATGGCATAAAATAAGAACAGTTCAAAGAGAGGTTGACTCACCTAACTTGTGAAATACAAAACAGCCGTTTTCAGGAAAAAAAATAGCCGTTTCAAAGAAAATCATTAAATACGGCAGGGGCAATTGGCCCCCATGGCATCCATGAACAGCTGTTTTGCCCTTTTCAGGAATCAATGGCTGACAAAGGCGTCAAGCAATAAATTAATATACTGTTCCATATGTGGCAGTCTGTATAAAGGGTTAGTTCATTTTAAGAAATGTATTAGTGCTGATGATTGACTCCTCTTACCAGGTCCAGCAGCAGCTGGAGGTCCAGTCAGAACAGTGGGTGCAGCAGGAGTACCTGGCGGTATTGGTGGCACAAACCTGATTACGCGCCCACCAGTTGCTCCTCCCATTGCCATGACGACCTAAAATATTTCAAAGCAACCACTGTAGATCACTATAATCTGATTGGCTATTTGCAGTCCTGGCATTTTCAGCAGTGATACAATTGACTCTTGCATTGTTTTTTTTTTTTAACTTTCGACTGGGACCAGTAAGCGAAAATCCGCCAACACGGCTAAAGAGGACGCCTTCAAAGACACTTGTAAGTTTCAATGTCACAGTCACCATATTTTACAGACAAAAAACAACAACAGTTTATTTCTACTACTGTAGACAACTAAAAGAATTTACAAGAATATAATTATAAATAAATAAATAAACACAGTACATATATTGTATGGTGGTGGGCAAGTTCATGCCTCCTACCATACAAATGTGACCGTTCGAGTGTGAAATTTCTCAGCTCTGAGGAGCAATATCTTCGCTAGCATAAGGTATTTATAAGGAGCTCTTTCCAGCAGTGTGAATGGATATTCGCTGACTGTTTTTTTTATTATTTATGGTCCCAAGAGAAAAAAACAGACAATGCCCATGCAATTTTTTTCTTTTTTTTTTTTTTTTTTTTGGGGGGTTGGGGGCAAACAAGGTATTGTGGGAGATGCGCAAATGGCGAATTTCGTTTAATATAACGAGGATCGAGGATTGGCAAATACAAAATCAGTAGCTCTTTTTTGACTGTCCCCAAAAGTTCGCAGACTTATACTTACATTTTTAGTTCATAAAATCCTACCATAAGTTAATGGCCGCGACGTTTAATAAGGTTTACTATACTTGGCCATTGAGAGATGAAGGGTGAACGAGGAACCAATATAATGTTTTATGACAATATAATAATAACGTCTATTTAGATTTTAGGATACCGTTATTCATAACTATCTGGATAACTTTCACTCTTGAATGCTTAATAGAATTTTCATAAATGGTTTACAATCAACAGGTATATAGGAATTACAAACCACTTTCAATCAAGAAGCTTAAGTTGAATATTTTATAGGGAAATCAGTTCAACAGGCACATCGCTCGGTCTCCATCCATGGCCTACGTCTGGACGAAGATTTTTACATCAGCTGTTTTGTACTCAGGTACAATTATAATCTTTTGATTATAATTCAACTTTCATCAGGCCATTTTTTAACATCATTCGATTTGTATATGAGCGTGGGAGGCAGTGTACCCGTTACGCCTCACCTATTTTCAGTCATATTTGAAAAACAAGCAATAATATAAGGTGTATATAACTTACAGTTGTTTTATAGACAGTCTGTCACTCTGCGATCGTAGAGCATTTGTGTTCTCGATTTTCTAGGATTAGAAATTGGGAAATCTACGTGTTTATATCACAGATGTGTCGGTGAATTGTAGCTGTATAGTACGAAGCGACTGAGGTCTCGATTTGTTGAATAAAGTAAGCTTCAAACTTACGGCTGTTGACGGGACGCCGGGACAGAACCCCGGACAGAACGATCCTCTAGAGTTTGCTGATCTGCTTTCGAGGACCCGAGGATTAATTCAAGTCTTTCAAGAGTTGCCCAAAATGCTGTCGAGTGCGAAAAGAGAAACTAAACTTGCTCCTTCAAGACAATAAAATAATACGAAAACCACCCAATCAGGGTGGTTTCCCGGAAAACTAAACGTCGCTCATTCACCCTGAAGTTTCGAGAAAGAGTGGAACTGTAAGAATTGAATTGGAACGAACTACTGGATTAGCTGGACATGGGAACGAACATTTTCTCCTTTGAGAAACCAACAGTATGACTGGTTTAAATACACTATAAATTAAAAAGATCTGTTTCAGCCCCAAAGTGTCAATTCAGCCCTGCAGGCCAAAGTCTGATTCAGCCCTTCTTGGAGCCATTTGAACACAATTTAGGCCAAAAAAGCTCAATGAAAAGGCTATTCCAGCCCACGGTAGGGCCCATTTCAGCCCTGGGACTAAATCAGCCCTAGCTAATTGGACTGTATTGGCCCTGATTTAAGGGAGCCAAATTAGACCCAAAAATAGGACTATATTTTACTCACCGAAACGGCCCTGTTTTTAGGGCTAAAACAGATCTTTCTGATTTAGAGTGTAGATAACATCTGTCAGATTTTTCCCTGGTATGGTCACGTCTTTAGTTTTCGTCAAACTGAATCTTATCCAACCCTGTGCCAACACATCAATCTAGACGCTTCATGTGTAATTCCCGTGGTTAATCCATTGCAAATATTTGTCAGAATATTCTCGAGTTAAATTCTCGAGCCGAGTATCTTTGGAACTGCTTTCGTCCCCTTTTACGGAAACCGGATCGTCGATTCAGTTGTGAGGGGACATCTGACGCCAGTGTCAGAAATTACCTTGTGTATACATCAAAAGGTGTCCAAGGAGATCGTGAGTGCAGAGAAGCCCTGGTGACGACGTTTGTTGAGATTTCTTTCAGTCAACCATTTTGGTTTTACGATGTCAGGTCATGATTTTTTTCAAAACCAGCAATTTCAACTTTCAACAATATTGCTTGCAAACACATGGCTCCATCAAAAATTTATTCGACAAAGCCAAAGAATGGTGATATTTTAGCCCAACAACACCTGGATTTGGCTTACTATGAAGGAGGCGATTTTCTGCCTAAGGACATCGACAAGGCAATATACTGGTTAAGCAGTGCTGTCGAAAACGGTTATGAAGATCCAAACATTCTTGGAAAACTTGGGGAAGCGCTAGATTTAAAAGGAACGCCGCCATACCAACGGAAGGCTTTCAAGATGTACAATAGGGCTGCGAATTTGGGGTGCACAAATTCGCAAATCAATCTTGCAGAAATGTATCGATGTGGAGTTGAAGGAGTCGTGGACGAAAACATCGAAGAAGCTTTTAAATGGTATAAGATGGCGGCTGGTGAAAACCGCCTGAGTAACGTGGGAGCGCTGGAACAGTTATTAGCTGGAGCAATGAGAACAGTGGATAATACCCTTCTTATTGTGTTGAAATTTAGGGCCCTTAGACTTTTGTTCAAATACTACCTCAATGGAGATTGTCCAGAGGGCCGACCACAACCAACCAAAGCTGTCCCTCCTTAGCCTGGATTTAATAGTGAAAAGGTTTTGACCGTTACAGAATAACGACTTTTCAAGGCGCTACATAATGTCTTATGTGTGGCCAAATGTTTTTCTCTACATTCTCTGCCGCAATACGAGGCAATATGACAAGTAGGACACTTCATGAGGGACTTACTTCACTTCGTGAGCGACGACAAAAAGTGCAACCACTGTAAAATCGCTCGATTACCTCTTTGGGGTGATACATACCTTCCTCGTTGTTATATTCCTTGTTTCGGACTAGGATGGGTGGGTTGGTATAAATTTGTTTTTCTCCAGGAGGAAGACCCGGAAAAGATGAGTCCCCCTTAAGTAAGATAGTATCAAGGGAAAAACTACCCTGTTGATACTCTAACCACGGGCCGCCATGGTCTCGCACAGTGTTTGATTCCAGATGAACCCGTGCAGAATAATTAACACCAATGAAAATCCCGCCACATTTGTTGCCAGATATGATATTTCCTTTTATCACGGCTGAAGTTCGCGATTTTGCCAAGATTCCCCAGAATCCATTCTCGAATATCTTGTTATCCCTGATGACAAGGTGAGAATCTCCATCCAGCGAAAGGCCAAAAGGCCTGTTGTGGTGTACATCATTTTCGGATATTTCTATTTTATTCTCGTTGCTACAGGCGTAGATTCCCTCTTTTGCGTTTTCGAATATCTTGTTCCTAGTGATTAGGCATTCTCCTGCATTTGGGCCGATAAGGACACCATGGAAACCACCACTAAATATCTTGTTCTGAGAGGCAGAAAGAGTTCCGCTTTCTCTTGCCTCTAGACCAGCTTGGTGTTTCCTGCACACCTCACATTTATGGACAGCCATGCGAGAACCCTTGCCACTGACTAGAGCGCCACCACCACCACAGTCGTGAATTGCACATTCTTCAATGAGAGCAAAGCTCCCTTCGTGGATTTGAACTCCGGGAAAACCAACAACACCGGACTTTGATTCAGAGTCTCCAAACTTACCTGTGCGATCGCAAACAGGTTTTCCTAAAGAGGCTGCTATACATCCTTCACTACCATTGCATTCTGGATAGTCCTCACAACTAGTTGCACCCCCTGAAATTTGACAGTGCTTCATATGAATGGCCGCTTCTTTGCCTTTGCAAACTAGGCCAATGTTTCCTTTAGGAAACACAATATTCTCAAAATAACACTTTGCAGAGGAAATAAGACAGCATTCTGTACAACGTAAAACCACTTCTTTTCCAAGACCAACAATTTGTAAATCTTTAAAGATAATGAAGCGCTTTAAATTATACACACCTTCCTTCAGAAGCAGAGTACCTTGTGCCGTCATTAAAACAAATGTCAACTGCGTTTCATTTTCTATTACTCTGAACGGCGCGTTTACTCGTGGAAACGTTTCCCAAAACCCTTTCTCGTTGCCAAGACTGGGTTCATTTTGGATAGCTACTGCCAATGCGGCCATCTTTTGTCCTTCAAGGTGAAAGGAACCATTTTCAACAAGTTTTTGGAGAGCCCAAGCCTTGCGTTGTAATGCCTTACTGTAACGGGGACATAATAAGAGGCACTTTTCACAGTCATCTAAAGCTTGTTGTGGCTGGCTAAGTTTCATATAGCAGAGAGCGCGATTGGCGAAGAGTCGATGGTCATGGGAAGTCAAATCAATGGCGCTGGAATAAAGATTAAGGGCCTCTTCATATTTCTCATTTTTTACTGCAATATTTCCTTGCTCTCTGAGTTGGTCAACCTTTTCCTGCCTTTCTTTTTTAACAGAATCTGCTTCATCCTCAAGATCACCGTCCGAGGCCGGTTGCCTCATGCAATGGGATATTAGCTTGCAGTCTCTGTCATTTAATGGGATATCAATAAAATAGTTTGGCAGTTTTGCGCTGTAGTCTTCGGTGGAGTTCGTTAGGCTCACCAGGAATTCGAGTTTTAGTTTCTGTACTTCCAGAGCTTTGACTTTCTCTTGGGACACACTGAAAAAGATTCCAGCTTCGTTGAAAACACGCACGGTTTCCTCTGTATACAGCAACTTATGGGCTGCTGCTCCATGATTGACTGAAAAATTAGACAAATGCTCTTGCAAATAGGTGGCATGCGAGGCCAATTTAGCCCATAACTGCAACGAAGGGGGATTCTCGACGCTAAAAACAGCGTCTTCAACAAAACTTCGGCACACTTCAGGCGGCGACCGAGTATTTTTCAGCGCATGGTGAAGGGCCCGTACTGCACGTGAGAGAACATTGAACCGAGTTTGTTCTTCTTGCAGCTGGCTTCGAATCACTTCTTGCACTAAACGATGAACACTGAAAGAGTCTGTCCCGTATCTCTGAAATAGAGAAAATTTAGTTAGAAGAGAAACTATTTCAGCTGCTTCATCCGACATACCATTATCCTCCGCAGAACTGCCTTCGTCTTGTAGCCCTTCATTGATCAGTTCGTATGGAATATCATCTGGGCAATAAAAAGCAGAAACTTGCATAAACAGAGTAGGAACTTCTCCAAGGTCCATCTCTTCTGACATGCGACTGATGTGATCGAAATTCAACATCCATGTTGAGTGGACTGCTAGCCGCTCCGAAGAGGTGTTTTCCACCAAATGTCGGGCTTTTGTCTTTTTCAAGAGACGCATCCTCTGCTTCTTGTATTTCTTCACATACTCTTTTATGGACTGTTTAACATTTCGTATAAAGGCCCCAGCTTGATCAAGAGCTAACGGCAGTCCTCCAAGTTCTCTGACCAGTTGACGCAAGTCGTTGTCTTCTCCCTCATCTGTGCGGCCTGTTCGTCGCTGTAGGAACTGAATGCCTTCTTCTTCTGTTAAGCATTTTAAGTCAATACAACACTGCTCGTCAATTCCTGTTGCTTCTCCAATTTCTGAAACTTTCCTTCTTGTTGTTATGATGATGTGACCGCGAGCCATATATTTCCAGCTACCCGTAAGCAGTTCACGCATTTCTTCCGACATTTCTAATTCGTCAAGATTATCGACGACTAAACACCACAGTTTTTCGCGTTTCCTAAGCCAATCAAGGGTTGTCGACAAGGAGTTATGAAAATCGTTTTCGATCGTTCCAATTTGACGCGCCATCTTATTGACGGACCTTTGAAAAAACTTATCTTGTCCCGAAATCCAGAATATACCCCCTGGATATTCTCTATCATTTTGCGAAAGAAACTCTACAGCGAGAGACGTTTTACCGACACCACCGAGACCACAAATTGCTGAATCAATACAACCATTTTGGGTATTTTTTAGATGCGCTGCAAGTGTCTCTAGTTCAATTTGGCGACCACAAAAGCAATTATTGCGCTTGGCCACTTCAAAAATCTGAACATCTGCCGTCTTAAAAGTCCCTTTTTCTAGTGCTTCAACTCCTATGTCTGCAGATACAGACGATACAGTGGTCTCTAAATTACTTTGTTTATCTTTTAACTGACAAATGTCTCTATCATTAACTCCTACACGTTGGTCTACTTCTGCTAAATCGCTTGAAATATCTGCAATTGCGTCTGATAAAGCTTCCTCTTTTTCTAACCGTTCCTTTTGCTCTTCCTCTATCCTTCCTTCAATTTCAATAATTCGCTTATCAAAGTTAGCAATTTCGTCTCTGATAATTGGAAGGGCAGCACTTACCTTGTTGGCTTCATCAGTCCTGGATTGCCTTATGTTATCCGCTTCTTTTTCCACGTTGTTAACTTCAACACTGATAAGCTTCAACAAATCTTTATCCACAGGGTAGCCCATGGACAGCTGTAAGCCTATAAAGAAAAATTTCCACGGTAAGAATAACAACAGAGTAAACTACTGAACAAATCAATACATGCAAAAGCCCCCCCGCTGTTTTTCTGTTTGTTAGTGGGCCCTCGAATTCCTAAAACAAAGAATTTGAAGTATATAACTATTTTTCTGTTGCTTATTAGCTGTCGTGTAGTTAAATCACTGAGTTTACAAAATGGAGACGTACTTGCAGTAGTGCAGAACGCGCATTTGATGTTCATTTGTGGCACTCAGATGAATGCTGTAGATGTGCTTGAGCTGAGCTTATATTTTGCGCTGAAAGACTATTGCATTTTGTGGTGAAAATTGTGTTACATTTTGCGTCAATGTTATTACATTTTGCAGCGATTCTTATTACGTTTTGCGTTAGTATTACAATTTGCGGTGAATATTACATTTTGCGGCGTAACAAGAACGTTAGAAAAGCAAAACGTGCTTTACAATTTCTTGTACATTTCTCTACGGTCACTGCACGACTACGACGTGAAAATGCCTAATTTCACGTTAAATGGAGGAAGTAAACAAGCGACGACGAAATTTTCTTTTTCCTTCTGAACTTGGGTACGGTTCTTAGGAATTCAAATCTAGGAGAGTTCTCCCAGTTTTGACAATTCAGTATGTGAATTGGAATAATTACGATGAAGATTGAGAGAACGCGAAATCTTTTTAAGCGACGTATACGCTGCCGCCGCGGTCCTCGGATCTTAAAATCCCTATTCAATACAAGGCGACTTCACTTCTTCCAGTCTACAAATGAGGGAGTGTGATATCGAGTCAAGTTAACTCTGTTCAGGCAAATCCCGATCACGACCCATCTCGTTTGGTTCTCTTCGAGGTTGAAGCTGATGACTGAAATAAAATTGCACTGAAAGTAAGAGAAGTTAATTTGTGGAACAGCAACGGAACAAAAAAAGATACACCCCCCCTGCCCCCCCACCACCGGATCTGTTGGACCAAGCCACCGGGACAGGCACTCCACGTAGACAAGGTACAGCTCATGGGCATCCTTAATATAATATCATAATAATAACTAGTATACTTGTTACCATGATCCAGCAATTTAAGTTGCTGATAATCATGCCAGAACTGCCGCCACTATGGTCCAATGGTCGACCACAAACCTCACCATACTATCCAACTTGAATTAAACAGCAAATGCTTTATGATTTTCAGGTGTGTGTATATTGAGCCTTGTTCTCTGGCAGCTACGTCAGGTCTGCTAACTATGTGCTCATGGAGGTAAAACATATTAAATTCTTATAACTCTCCAAAACAGTAAGACGTTCAATTTAAATTCAATTGTTTAGCCAAAGATAAGCAGTAGAAGGTAGCAGGAAGAACTTCCACTCTACAAACAGTGTAAAATGTTGGTCATTTGAGGTGCTAGCTTAGACTCGGTCAGCCTCTTACACAGACGTCCCTTAGCTTGTCACCCGATGGCGATGTCCATTAGCAAGGATCGTGTGACAAGACAAAAAATACCTGTGTAGGTGGGCAATGGGTCAAAGTTGCTGTATAGGGCAGTTTTTTCAGTTGCCTCAACTTTATTACTTTTTTTCTACCCGAAATGGAAGAGTTCCAAAAGCGAAAGTGACGAGGCTCCTTACTCTCGGAATTTAACGGTATAGAAATTAACTTTTAAAACATCGCCTTATACTCAGAACGCAAACCTTTTTGGCAAACGTTCTTGTAGTAATGTGCAGTGTTCAGATAAGAAACAGATTGACGGCATGATTGTGGCTATGGCAGTTCACTTGTGTGGTCGTGGAAAAAAATGGAAAGAAGGGCGAACTCGTTTCAAGGGGTTTCCTCAATTTATTTCAAGTCAAAAGTACTAGGCGTCAAAGAATTTTTTTGCACCCACCTTCACTTCTTAACAAGTGCTTTCGGTAGGCTTTGTACTCCTCTTCGTTGATAGTCAACGTAAGTTGCACCGAATCAAGACCCATCTCTTTTAGAATGTCCTCGGTCACAAGATACCTCTGCGCCACTTCAGTTAGATGGCCTGTGCGGTAGTCTTTCCACAATTCATCAAGAATATGCAGCGAACTAGCTTGCACTTTGATTATCAAACTTCCCGACTTGACATCAACAATTAAAACTTTGCGCGCCTCTTTCATATACCGAAGAAAACCATTTAACTCCTCTAGATTTGAGGGGTTGATGTTCCGAAGATATTTATTTGCAATATGATTCAGAACCTCTTGTGAAGAGGGAATTCTTTCATTCACGGCATTTTCCTCCTGACTGACATTTTGGGGCAATGAAGTGCCTACTTGTTTCCGGGCGTAACAGTCAAGTCGGATGTCAATACTTTCATCTGAAAGTCAAAAATAAAAAAACTAATAAGTATATAAATAAATAACTAAATAAAAAATGAAAATTCACCGCAGATGGTTTTTACTTTAGTAAAGGAGAGAGCAAATTGACATAAATTAGCACTTGGACAAGTTTTCAATGTGATAATGCAAGACTGCAAGTTCTTCACCTACAAGTTCATGGCGCTTTCTGAGTTCTGTAACAAAGCATCCTAGGTCTACTTCGAGAGTAATATATCCCACTCGCCCATATTAAGACATTTGTATTATAAAAAAAAAGTGCAAAGGGAGGCCTCCTTCTTGATAAAAGGCTGTTGTTTTATGAGGCTAATGTATATATGCGGTTTATAATCGTTTTGTATCTAGCTTTTAGGTATAGCAAGACAATGGGCCAAGTTTTGTTTCAAAATCCCTGTTTACAAGTTTGAGTCCTTCATTACTCATGGGTGTTGTCACGAGTTTCATTTTAGCGTTAGATAACGCTGTTCATGTGAAAATGAAACTTCAAATTTCACACTCCCGGTCTCTCCAACAGTGTCCAAGGTTCTCTTCCGAAGGGCGGGCGGGGGGAGGTCTATTCCAGTTTACAAGTACCGTACAGGGATGGTCGAACGATTTTCCACTGGGCAGAAAAATTTGGCAGGTATTTTTTGTTTGTCCTCATTTAAGTAGATCTTACCAGCTAATTTTAAGACCCTGGTTGGTGCACTGGCTTAGCATAATTATACATCAGTTATCAGCTTCCTGCACAGCCAAGTAGTGCCAAATAAACCGTGTTACATATGTCATTACTCCGGCTCCACGTGAGTTGAAATGGCTCCCCACTAAAGAACGTCTTCTTTTTAAAAACGCATGAACATTCAAATGCCTTAATGGTTTGGCACCTTACTATTTATGAGAGAAATTTATCAGAAGAAGTCAGTTACACAGTCGTTCCACCAGAACAGTACGGATATAAACATCCCCACGTATCGTACTGTGTGCGGTCAAAGAACTTTTTCATACTGAGCAACGAAAACTTAGATAAACCACTGAAAAACATCATGAATTTTAAAACTTTTAAGAGATTACTTGAGGAGTATTTCTTTCAGAAATTTAGTCTTTAATAAATTTCAAGTTTTTATTGCCAATTCAATTTTTCTTTCCTTAAGTTCCGAGACATGTTAATTAACATAGAATAGCTCGTATGGAAATGTTGATAAGTTTGCATGTATGTACGAGATAATACAACGTTTTTACCACCTTTTTAGTATTACAGAGGTTAACGGCGCTAAGCAACTTTTTATACTGACCTTCTTGAATGATATTTCTCATCCTTTCTACAAGTTTATCACACTGTTCCTTCCAGCTGAACTTTTTTGCATATTCTCCTCGCACAATGTTAGACTCTTCAAGTCGCATCTCTCTGTCTTTCTGACGAACAGCTTTGATCGCATCGGCCCATTCTTTAGGATTCTCTGACTCTATCACACAGCTCGAAGCACAAGCAACTTTCTTCAAAGCTTCTCCAAGACCAGAGTTCCTACTGACCAGCACAGGCAGGCCTGCAGAAAAAGCCTCAAGAGCAGCAAGACCAAAGCCCTCAGTTCGTGATGGCATTATAGCAAGATCTACTTCACAAAATAAATCAGCTAGCTTCTTCCTGCTTTCATTAAAACAACGCACCCTGAGCTGACTGCGGTCAATGCCTTCCTGGAGTAACATTTTTGCTACTTTCTCTTCTTCTCCACTTGTTGCTCCTACAAACACAAGTATGTAAGTCATGTCTTTCAACTCAGCAATGGCTTTGGCAGCAATGTCATATCCCTTCAGCTGGAAATCTTCGTTGTCACCACGCCCAAAGACCAAAACATTGAAAAAGTTTCTTTCTTCAGTGGCCTGCTTTACATCTGAAAACTCAGAGAAGATGCCCGGGGTAAAATTGAAAACATTTTGATCTTTTCCACAAGGACGAAGGTAACCTGAAAACGCTTCAGCAAGCTTGGGTCCAACTGCTACAACGTGATCAGCCAATTTACAGAGTTTAACCTCCACCTGGTGCTTCTTTTCACCTTTGGAAATGTTTTCTTCATATTCTTTGTACATTCCAAGTTCCTCTGGAGAGGTATGAACGACCTGAATCCACTTACAATGAGGATGAGTACGCTTAATGAACTGCACTTGCCGACCAAGAACCGCCCCATGCCCTATCACACAGTCCACGGCATGGCCTTCTGGTAGAGAGGACAACCAGTCAACTGGATTGTCATAACCTGCCATTTCGTCTGCTTCAATGAGCTGTACATTGTGACTTTCAGCAACTCGTTTATCTTCTTCGCTACACTGAGGGAGATAAACACTGACCTCCACGCTGGAGTGTTTAGCCAACTGAACGGCCAGCTGTCGGTTGATGGTTGACAAGCCTCCTTTTGTTGATCTCCATTCACTGCTTAACAGAGTGATTCTCAACTTCCTGGAGGAAGTAGATCCTGAATTGCTTTCATGGTCTTCCTGTGATGTAGAGGCTATGCAAGGAAAGGACGGCAAATCCTAAAGAAAGATAAATCAAAATGTTAACTTTAGGGCTTTATCATTACAGTTTATAAAAACTGTTAAGTTAAGTCAAGTTATAAAACTAAAGCTTGTTCTACACTGCTGTTCCGAGTCGAACAAACAGTACAGCTGTTACAAGATTCACTTCCTCCTACTGTAAAGGATCTGTACATTTACGGCAGCACTGGACTTCAATGGATCACATCTTTGGGTTAGGTGAATGGGGTAAAAAAAATGTACTCAACTAAAAGTGTCTTACACTTACACTGAAAGGTGTGGACGATGCTTTTTGAACTGGGAGGATAGAGATTATGTATGTGAAGTATACTTTCTTTTCTTAAGGGCTCAAACCTTGACCTCCCCCGATCCAATGACTGACATGACCACCAACCCTTTAAACCTCAACTTGTACATGTATAATAAGCAATTTAAAATTGTTCGGAATAATTGATAACCAATTAACAATCCAGTCTCAAAACTTTAGAATAGTAATAGCGGAGGCTGCGTCTGCGCTGTGGAGCCTTCATTGGTATAGAAATTGGACACTTATCGATGAGAGGAAATTTTGCTATGACATCAGTAACGTACGTTACCCCAGTAAAAATCTTGAAACTTCTCGTTTTTGACTTAGAACAACTGTACAAAAAAATGATAAAAACAAAAGTTTGCGGTTGTCACGATTTTGGCCACGCTCCAGAACCAATCTAGTCTCAGACTTGTATTTTGACAGGTAAGTTCATGCGTAAAAACTCATTACCGAAACGGGTGGGTGAAGTCTCTTTAGCTTGTATGGTTTATTTTCCCAATGAAGGTCTCAGCAGAATTTGCCCCTTTGTCTTTCCATAAATTATGCTTACATATGCACTTGAATAAGATGAAAATTAAACGAAACAGTTCTCTGGAGTAATATCACATGACCTACATTGGGAAAACAAAACATACATGCTAAAGAGGCCTTTTCAATTGATTTTTCCTGACATCATGGATTGGTGCTTGTCTGGATTGACAATCATGCTATTAACAGTGTACTAGTTGTCAGCAACGTTCATATCGTGCGGCGGTCAAGGGCCACAGGATCAGTATTAGAATCTTAAAGTTGTTCATCGTCCGAATACGCATTCAAGTTGATGTGAAAAAAGCTTTCACTGATTGACTTTCCGTGAACAAACATTCGTTTCTTTTGGTTGACAGAGAACGCCATTGTTCGACTTGAAACGCTCAGGAACGAGACCTCGTAAGTTTCCGTTTTTGATTTGACAACTGAAAGCCACGTAAAGCGACAATTTCAACTGTCAGCGTATATTTGGTGGTAGAAAGCAACATTTAGAAATTTGTTAACAAAAAAACCGCTGCTATCAAGATTCTTCTGTTATTCAAAGCTGGTTTGGTTATTTGGCTTTTCGTTGAGGACAGCGTCGCATCGGGTTCCTCGATGGCTGCGTTTTAAACATTTCTGATCTCATTTACTGGCTTTCAGGAGCTGCATCTCAGGTGAGCTCGAGTTAAGTAATTCTTGCATTTTTAGTCTCGTTTGACTTTGTAAAGTCAACAGTTTCACGTACTTGTCTTAAAGAACGAGGAATAATCACCTCGTATATGTTTCTTGTAAACGCGCGCAAACTATACTTTAAGGTCGCCCGAACCTATTTATATGCACGTTGGTTACGTTTTTAAATCGCGTTTTTCGGCAGAAATGATTTAACCGATTTCCATGATTTTTAGCATCCTTAATAAAGAATGGTCAAACGTTAAGAAAATGTTTTTTATTTTCTTGTAGGTGTAAAAACGTTTGAGATATCGGCATTTGTTTAAAACCGCATTTTGACAAAAAATGTCAATAATTTCGAAACCCTAAAACAGATTTTTCTCTAACTTCGGCCAGTAAGCCTCAGAGTTCTTCAGTTTTATATCTGCAAGTTTGAAGTCAATCATGACCATAGAACTCGCTGCACAAATATCTGGTCAAATTTAACCTTAAAATGCCACGCTAACACATTTGTGAAAGCTGGCGCACGAATAGAGGAAAACTGCCTGCAGACTATCTCTTATCTGCAAGGGTATTCTTGCCCAAAGCTTCAGTTGCAAGAAACTGAGTAATCAGAAACATACGGCGAATACAGTTCGCAAAACAAGAAGAACAATTTTATGCTGAATGCGGGGCAAGATAAACAAATTTCTATTTGTCAAACTTACTTTGTATTTGACCCTTTCTTTTCGAAACCTATCTTAACAAGGCAAATCATATTATCTACGAAACCTCTCAAGAGGTTTTAGCGTCGCAGGTTCCGTTTTGAGGACCGTCCATTTTTCAGCTGCACTGAAAGCCCTTGTACTTGGTAATTTATTCAAGGTTTTTAGACTTGACATCACATTCGCACGGGAAGTTTGCCACTTGGGGGTAAAGATGAGGAAAATATGACAATCGTCTTATTCTTTTCATTATCCCCAATGGCAAAATGCCTGTGCGAATGTGATGGCAAATCTTTCTAACTTGAATAAATTACGTAAATACAAGGGTTTTCGTTGCAGCTGAAAATGGATCGGTTGAAGTGCTGGAGTTGGTGGCCTTATTTCTCCTCAAGAAAGGGAACCTTTAGCGCTAAAAACTGGTAGGAGATTTCCATAGATGTTATATCGTGCTTTGTTAAGATTTTTTTGCGAAAAGAGAAGAGAAAGTACACAGTAACTTTGCTAAATAGAAGTTATTTAATCTTGCCCCGCATTCAGCATAAAGTTGTTCTTCTTGTACGGCAAACTGAACTCGCCGTAGGTTTCTGATTACTCGGTTTCTTGCAACTGAAGCTTTGGGCAAGAATACCCTCCCAGATAGGAGATAGTCCTTCGGAAGTTGTCCTGTGTTTGTGTGTCAACTTTCACAAATGTGTTAGTGTTACATTTTAAGGTTAAATTTGACCAGCTACTAGTGCACCGAGTTCTACGATCACGACTGACTTCAAACTTGCAGATATAAAACTAGAGAGCTCTGAGGCTTATTTGCCGAAGATGGAGAAAAATCTGTCTTAGGGTTTCGAAATTATTGACATTTTTTGCAACAATGCGGTTTTAAACATATGCCGATATCTCAAACGTTTTTATACCTATAAGAAAATTAACAGCATTTTCTTATGCATCAGTCAATTGCAGCTGCACCCAGCCCCCCCCCCCCGGGGCTGACCCCCGGGCATTAGGGTTTTTTTTGCCCTGGATGGCAAATTCCCGGGGGTGGGGACTATGAGCTGTCAAATCCCCCGGGGTGGAGACGAAATTAAAAAATAGGGCAAATGCCCCGTCCTCCGTCAACACTGCAACATTTTTCAATGATCGCACAGTCGAATAGTGCTGTTTTACGCATTCTAATGTGCGATTTTTTGTTTAAACTAAGGTCTTCCTTTGTGATAGCGCTAGGATTCTAATTAAGACTTCACGCCGCGACGACATGCACCAGTTTATGGTTTTAGTATTATTATAAAATTATTGACATTAAAATCAATAGAGCGCTATAAAGTTATATGTTATGTCGAGTAGTTTTATTAATATGAAAGGATTTTCTTCAAATAATATCAACTGAAATTTGATTCAATTTAAGCTTTAACTAAAAAACGTTGATTCACGTCGATAGCTCCCGATTTCGCCACGTAATTCTGGCTTGATAAGCAATGAAGAAATGCATGCATAAAATCGAGAACATGCCTTTTTTCCTGTCCTTGGCAGATGAGCCAATATGCTTGTTTTTCCAGTAAAATCTTCTGTGTCGTTATATTTTGATAGGAAACCGCGTGCGTGTCAACAGCTTGGGAATAGCCCTGGGGTTGGCAAATTCCTGGCCCCCGGGCAGCGCAAAATTGGCAAATGCCCCACCCCCGGGAATGACAAGGCCGGCAAATGCCCCTCAGTAGCCCGGAGGGGGGCAAGGGCGCAGCTGGCGGACTGATGCATTAGTTGACCATTCTTTATTAAGGATGCCAAAAATCATGGAAATTGGTTAAATCATTCCTGCAAAAAAACGCGATTCAAAAACATAACCAACGCGCAAATAAATAGGTTCGGACCACCTTAAGTGTAGCCTCCCCGCAGACGTCCTTTGGGGTTCGTTCGTCAAGCACTCATTTCTCCCCCGCAAAGGACGTCTGCGGGGAGGTCACCTTAAGTGCATAAGTGATCGAGATTGTTGTGTGTTTTTATTGTTTGAGTTCGTACGGAAACGTTGAGAAGTCGGGCCTTGCGTTTATCATGTTCACAATACACAGAATTAGAAGCATTTTTCTGGTTGCAAATAGAAAGAAAAAGTTCTAAAAACTACTCAGTTATCGTATTTGTTGAAAAAGCTTTAAGCAAAACGTCTTGCTTCGAGGCACGTTTATCTAGTATGAACAGAAAGAAAACAACTTAACCGACCACACGACTTGCTCTCATGTTTTATTGTCACATGTTTTTATTGTTTTATTTTGCGGAAAGTGGGTCAAATTGCTGCGCGAATGAAATCCGAATTTTTTTATGGATACATTTCGTAACAATTTTGTACTATTTGTCTTTGTTTATACTTTCTTCATCTACGCCAAAAAGAAAGTACATAAACAAGTTGACGTTTTTTCACCGACAGACTAGTAATGAAAATTATGCACAACACGCACCGCGGACGGAGTGAATGCAAACAACAGAATTCGTAATTCCTAGGAGAAAATGGTAACCAAATACCCGTGTACCCTTGCCTGTTGAGTAAGGTTACT